TCCATTAATGGAGTCAAACTTTAAGATCTGAAAGCATAAATCAGATCATTCGAATCAAATTTATATTTCGAATACGCATAATGCATTAAATCGTAACTTTAAAAATGATTTTAAAAAATGGCTCACATTTGCCCCAGCTTCAATGAGCTTCTTCACGCAGGATATCTTCCCATGCATTGCAGCCAACATAAGTGGAGTCTGAAAACATTCAAAAGAATGAAAAATGTACAGAAAATATATAAACCCAAAAAAAGAATCAAAGCTTTAGAGAGAAAAAATGACCTGCTTTGACGATTTACTACATCCGGGTTCACGGATTTCTCTAAAAGCATAGCCAAAATCTACCCAAAAAAGAAAATAAATCGTTTTCGCATCAAGCGGATGAAACCAAATATGGATCCAACAGCTCAAAACTAAGTAAAATGAAGTTTAAAAGAAGAAGAACATTTAATCCAAAAGCTATCTTCAAAAACTTGCAAAATGATTACCCACCTCGATCTGACCATAAGCAGCAGCTATATGAAGAGAAGAGTGGCGATCATAAATAGTTCTATGATGTAAAAGATTTGTTTCTCTCTTTAATAAAGCTTCCACAGTTTCAAGGTCTCCAACTTGAACTGCACTAAACAATACATTCTCTTGACTCGCTCCACAACTCAGCCCTTGACCCATCTTTCAAGATAGAAAACGGGGCCTTGCACTTTCTTCTGCCCTTTCACCACCGTCGTCGCCGACTCCCTCCGGTGATGGTGGTGGTGGTGGGTGGCTGTCTGGCCTATCTCTCAATTTAGCTAAAAAATATTCACATTCGTGTAGTCGTCTTTAAAGGCTAAAAGCGAGTGATTTTGATTTGGATAAACTACGTTATAAGTCCCTAAATTAATAGTAATATTCTAAATAGTCACATAATTTCAGAAAGTTACATTCAAATCATTTAATTAGTCGAAAAAACACATTTCGGGTTTTAGGCTTCTTGAATCGGGAGCTTCATTTGATAATCTAAACATGAAGAGGTTATTTTTATAAGATAAAGAACATTTCTCATTTCATTAAATGATAGATGATGTAGATTCGAGTTCAAAAAATTTAAAAGTTTTAGGGTAATTTCATAATTTTTGTGAGAGATTCGTAAGAATTTAATTTGATGAATTGAACAAAAGATTAAAGTAAATTTTATATTGAAATTTAAAATTAATTGATCATCATATCGATAATCGATGACAATCAATATAATAATATTTGACATGGTTATTATGATAAATTATGTATTGATTTAATTGTAATTTTCTAAAAATTAAATATTTTTAATAAGTAAAATATTTTATATTAAAAGTTTCTTTAATATTTAGTAACTAAATAACATGTTTGTAACAATTAGATAATTGACTACTTGAGTAACTAATTTATAATATTTTAAACTTAAATGACCCTTTATATAGTATTATTGATAATTGAGAGGTCCTTGATGTAATTTACCCTTTCTTATTTTTTTAGTTTTTAATTTTTATAAATGTTGGAGTATTTAGCTGACACGAGTTATCACTTATCAGATGCTTTTCGGGACAAATTAAATTCTTGTATAGACAATCCAAATGGAAGACCTCAGCCGTGGATTACTTTTGTCGGTGCGCATTAGGCGTACGATTGTAAGGTTAAATTGGAGAGGATGAATAACAAAATTGAAACGTTTAGCCAATAAAATTGCTGCGTGCAATTCAGAGTTATGGTCTTCTTACCTAAAATACCCTTTTCGTATATATATTTTTTTTTTCACTTTTATTAATTGTCACCTTGGTCTACTGGTGAAAATCAAGTCAGCTTCCTCCAATTATCTTCTCACCAAAGATAAAGTGACAGTGTCTAAGACTAATGAAACGACGACGTTTTACCCCTCAAAAGAAACTTCATTGATTGCTTTCAGAAAATGTAGATCTGGCACAGTAAATTGAAGTTTGAAAATCCATTTTGGTGGAAAGCTGATTTCTTTAAAAGGAATTATATTTTGTATAGTCCAAGCAGCTTTTTTTTTTTTTGCCTAATAAGCGACGGCAGTCTAAAGTAATCAAGGGATTTGATTTTTGGATAAACAATACAAGCCATCACTTAATTATATGAAAATTTTAATTTGATTATTGATTTTTTAATTTTATCAATTAAATTATATTTTTTGTTATTGGTTTCGTATTTACTAAATCGGAATGACCAACATCGTACACCTAGTTTTGGTGGATAAATTTCCCAACAAGGATTTTCTACTTACACAATGACTCAAACTCGAGACTTTGCTTAAGCGATATCAAACTGCTTACCAATTGAACCAACCCATGTTGGCTATCAATTAAATTATTTAACTATTTAAATGTTATCCATTAATCATTAATGATCGAGAAACACAACAATAATAGTGCACCATATTTGAACCCTGATTTTTATGGGAAATCTGATGATTCTTTTATATGTATTTAAATTATTTTCCCAATTCTTGAAAGAGATTGTTTAATTTAATTAAACATTTTAAACTTTGGGGTTGGTGTCAAGGCATTTGGGACTAATCTCAAGATAATTAGTGATTAAGCCAACTTAGTAACAAATGGTATCAAATTCTATTTTTTTCATTTTGAACAAAAGAGAGGTAAAAATGTCTTAGCAAATTACAAACAGATAAAGTATGCAAGTTAATTTTAATAGTTTTCATGTCATCTAAAAGGATTAATTTGTTACTCTTCATATATTAGATGACAATTTTTATTTTTTTTCATAATCAATGACTCGGTAAAAAAACTCTTTATAATTGAGGGATTATTAAGTGCCAAGTGCTGTCATAAACTCATCTCATACATGTCTGGGTACGTACCCGGATATAAAAAAACGGTCTTCAATTCTAAAAAATTTATACCTAATATTTGGTTAAATTACAAGTTATGTCATATAAAATCTTAAAATTTACACAATAGTTTCTAAAATTATAACTAAAATCATAATAATTTAAAATTTATACGGTGGGTAGTTAATGAATGGACAGATGTGAGACAGGTTGATATGGGGCGGATAAAATCTCAAACCCATCACCTATACACTACTTACGACGAGTATAATTTTTTTACATCTATACCCATCCACTATCTACCAAATCTATATCCATCCCCATTACAGATACGATATAAAATCCACAAAATTATAGGGTATGTCATCCCTACTAGCTGCTCACCTTGTTTGCATCCATTGATTTAATATTTTAGAGTTAAGCAGCTTTACCTATTCAAATATATAATATTCTAAATATCTTTTATTCAAACAAGTTCTTTTATTATTTTAACGGGTATTGAACTCGATATAACAAGGAAGAGGTGTTAGAAACACTATTGGGTTATTTTAATGTAAGATTACAACGGTTCCTTATCCAGGTTTCATAATTATCCTTTTGTTTTTCCTATCAGATCATGTGTTGAAAGCTACACTGAGAAAACACCAACGAATTCAGATTATTGAGTTTCCTGGTAGAAAATAAAATTATTAATATCAGTAGATATTTACTTCTCGAAGCTCTATTTTTATAAGAGTTTGCAACACCTAACTACTGATTTGACTTTCGTTTCCAATTGAATCGTTCCAAATGATCCATCGAGCGGGTCCATATGAATGGTCTCTTCAAGCAAACGGTTTTGTTGTTTTATGTTTTAGTTTTTTCTTCTCCACGGAGAAGACCATCGATAAAGATAGATTTAGGAAAATTGACAAGTTGCTGCAACTTGTGCCCTTACATGTATATAGCGAGTTGCACAGGTTGTCGAGTATACTAAACCCTAATTTAACATACAATCAAGAGAGAGGGTCAGAAGCATCCTTCGGCTGAATTTTATATATGCATTCAAGATGGTTACAGACTTGCAGATTGTGAAGTGTAAAAGAGTTTGATTTATAGTTGGTTTTGCCAGCTGATTATTCATGTTTTGAAGTTTGTTGGTAAAAGGTTAGGCATCCTTTGGCTGAATTTTAACTTGTTTCATGATAACACGAGTGTTTGGTTTTGACTTGTGTCGTATTTTCAGTTTTGTTTTGCAGTACAGAAGTACATGTAATATAACAGCAGCTTTGCTTTGAAAATAACAGCAACGAAAATCACTTTTATGTTTATGTTTTATCTTAGGAAGATCCAAAAATACATGTTATTTTCACCATCTGTCATGCATGATGACAGGGATGAACCTTCAAGACTCAACCTACCACAAAATTAATAAAATCAGACCCCGCTACAAAAAATACATTTTGTATAATCAGACATAAGATGCAAAATTGGGCTTATGCCTTGAAAACCTAGAATTAGTGCCTAATGATCTAAGGCTTGAATCACCCTCGACCACATCCTATTTGTTATTTTATAGGGCCATAGTGGCTAGGCTTTCTAGTTTGGGCCATCCAACAACCCAGGGAGAGGTAACCAAAAATGAACAAATATTTTTTTTAAATGTCCAGATAAGCAACAGCCCCAAATTTACTCAATTTTCACGTCAGAATCTGAACTATAATATATATTTTTCCTTTTTTATTTTAATCTAGAGTTTCTAAGTGGTATTATTTAATATAAGGATTCTAGTGTTCGAATTTAGATATTTAAAAATAACAAGTATTTTAAACTACTAAAATAACTTTAATTCGTACTATAACATATATCTTCTTGAGTAATGCTAGTTAAGCTTGTAAAATATCATAAAGAATATATATATATATATATATTATATTATCCAATCATACCCATTAAAGAACATTTATTTGAATTATTCAAGTATGGTGGGAGAAATGCCATGAAACTACCAGAAATCTCTTGCAACTAATAAACTATGAATAATTATTTTCCCTTTTCAAAAACTAGAAGCCTCTTTCATTTTTGTGTATCACTTGCATTCCATCGTGAAGAAGATTAAAGGGAAAAAACTTCCTTTGGCAATTTGTAGAAGTTTTTCATTTTTGTGTTGATTTCTTGTTCTTCACATTTTTGCATAATGTCCCAGCCAATTCTAAGCCTTTTCGGTGGTCGAAGAACCAATGTGTTGGATCCGTTTTCTCTAGATATATGGGATCCTTTGGACGGGTTCCTCCTCAACTCTGCCTTGGCTAACAATGTGGCATCATCAGGCTTGGTTAATGCAAGGGTTGACTGGAAAGAAACGCCCCAAGCTCACGTTTTCAAAGCTGACCTTCCAGGGCTGAAGAAAGAGGAAGTGAAAGTGGAGGTTGAAGAAGGGAGGATTCTGCAGAAAAGTGGAGAAAGAAGCAGAGAGCAAGAAGAAAAGAATGAGAAATGGCATCGCGTTGAGCGTAGTAGTGGCAAGTTCCTGAGGAGGTTCAGGTTGCCCGAGAATGCCAAGATGGATGAGGTCAAGGCTAGCATGGAAAATGGGGTCTTAACTGTCACTGTCCCCAAGGAAGAGGAGAAGAAACCCGAGGTCAAGACCATTGACATTTCCGGGTAATATTATCACTACTTCAAACGGAGAAAATTAAGCAAATGGTTGTTTGTGCGTGTGTTTTCCTTATAAATGATGTAAGATGTGTTCTGTCGCAGGCTTTTGAGTTTGGAATAAAGTAACGCTTGTTTGAAAGTGAGCGGCGGATCCTCTCCCGAGCTGGGTTGGGGTTTTGCCTTCAGCCTTGGGTTCTCCTGAGCATGGCCTGGGCTGTGAGGCCTTTCTTTTATTGTTGTATCCGTATCAGGCCTATCGTACCCCTGTTCCCCTCTTTAATGGAATTTTATGATGCTCAATAAATAGACAAAAGAACAATTTTGGATTAAAATAAAACAACCTAACTTTGAAATATAAATAAATTGAGAAAACATGAAATAAAAAATAATTCCATTTAAAATAATTATTTTAAGAGATGTGATACAATATTAATTATCGTTTATCATATCATATTATTATGAGAAAATAACTTCAGTGACAGAAAATGCCTTATAATATACGATTTTAACCAACGTTTTTTGGATTTGCGAAAATGACCAACAAATTCGCAACGCGAACTACTATTTTGCTACCCAGTTTCCAAATTCGCAACACAGAAGTCAAATTCGCAACACAAAAGTCAAATTCGCAACACATTAGTCAAATTCGCAAAGCGCGCTTATTTTCGCAACGCAAATTTTATTTTCGAATTCAAAACACAATATTAATTGAGAAACACAAATGTAAACAATATTATCGCAAATCATAACCTAAAACCCTAAATCACAACTCAGCCCCATCTACATCTCTCACTCTCTACGGCGACATCCGTCCCTATCTCCGACGAAATCTGTCTCCATCTCCGGCAAATCCGTCTATCTCTATCTCTCAGAGCAACCCTCACAACCATTCATGGTCATAAATGGAAAATCAACCACCGAGGGTTAGTTTAATCTCTTATTTTTATTTTGAAATTGTTGTATTATTATTAGATTTTGCTGATATTGATGATAAATTTACTGGTAATTTCAATATATAATCTATAACTATTTCACTTAGATTGCTTAGTAAATTCATTCAGTTGCTGTCAATACTGCCATGTGAAGTTAGTATTTGTCTTTATTTTGTCTTTTTGTTGAAGAAATGCAATTCATTCAAGTTTTAATTTGCAGAAGAATAGTTTTTGAAACTTAAATTCGCAACACGAAAATGAAAATCGCAACGCAAACATGAAAATCGCAACGCGATTTTAGTTTCGCGTTGCGGTTTTCATTTTCACGTTGCGATTTTCATTTTCGCATTGTGAATTTAAGTTTCAGAAACTACTTTTATTCTGCAAATTGAAACTTGAATGAATTGCATTACTTCAACCAAAAAACAAAGACAAATACTAACTCACAGTGTTGCGAATTTAAGTTTCAAGAATAAACTACTACTCTTTATGTTGTCCTTGAACCTGCACTAAACCTATATGTTGTCTTTTAAATGTTTATATAAGTGCTTACTTCTAGAATGTTATCTGATGTTTTGTGAACTATGATGGAATGACTTGGGTGAATACCGTGCTAGTTTGAAACATATTGGCTTTGTTTCACTGTTTAATATCATGTCTGTTTATAGTGTATAATTTGTAGTTTTTGGTATATCTAACTTTGTTTGTTTATTGTTTTTGTAGAAATTTTTTCGGCTGCATTGACCCTTAAGGAATAAATTAAGCATAGCCACTAAAATTGCGTCGACGCTTACACTTCTACAAAGAAATTGTTTGATGATACTTGCTTCGGGCCATGGCTGAAAGTACAACATCCGGGTGGAGATGCTATGTTGACACATTTGTTTCTTCAGACCATGACTAATGATCTACCTGAGAGGATACAACGTGGTGATGAAAAGATATGGTTTCATTTTCCTCCGGCGACTTGTTTTGGGCGGGAGGAGTTTTGCTTAATAAATGGTCTACGCTTCGGACACGATGATGTAACCCGGTACACTAGTCATATCTCTCCCCCATCATGGTTATCTCGGGTTTTTCTGAGCTGGCAAAGTCGAAGCCGAGTTTACAAGTCGACGACTTGAAGAGATTATTTGTTAAAGATGGTTTTACTCGGATAGATGACCTTGATGTTGTCCGAGTAGTATGCCATTTATTACTTTTGCATGCCGGTTTTTTAGGCAAAGAGGGCAGAAATCTATCTCTAAGGACCTAATATTATTGGTAAAGGACCTAAATGCATGAAACCTGTTTTTGTGGGGTTCATATCTATGGAAAGCTATCTGGAAAAGTTGTCGTCTGCCTTTGAGGAGCGAAAAATTTGCGGGGCGATGGTTCTAAAGACACTTTGATAGGCTTTACTTGGGCCTTAAGGTAAGAATTTCTATATAATGTTTCCAAAATTATAATTGATTTTAACAATTACTATGTTTGTGTATTATATTTTGTAGATTTGGATATTTGAGGCTTTCCCCAGCATGCAGACATATGCGATAAAAAATCAAATGATATTCCTAGCTGGAAGAGGATCTGCCATTGGATTGGGAAGAGTTACTCCATACACGACGATGAATGATGTAAGTTAACACACAAATAATACCATATATAAACAAGTTATTACTATTCACGTTTAACTTTGTTTGAGCTTTTATATTATTAGGAGGCCAACTATCCATTACAGAGGCTGACACCTACAGAGGCTGAGCTTGCCACTGATTGGTAGCAAGCTAGTAAGCGGTTTTTTGATGGGACGGATGATGAGCACCCCCCACTTCGAGAGCCATCACCTGATCGAGCTGATTCTACAACTTGACACCCGGAGCCATCACTGATCGAGCCTCTTCTCCACCTCCACCCACCATCACCTATTCCATCACATCATCGAGCCTCTTCTCTACCTCCACCATCACCTATTTCATCACATCATCGAGCCTCTTCTCCACTATCACCTCATGATAGGCGACCGTAAAGAGGCCACGACATTTATCTCCTGTTCTCCACCTCCACGGGATGAGTTAGGGGAGTTACGTGATGGTCGGTGTTTTGCGTCATAAGGTCGGTACTTTACGTGAAGACAATGGTGCATGGTGTGAGAGGTTCGATCTTTACGTGGTGAGGTGGATTTTTTTTACGCGATGTCAATGGTGCGCTACGTGGTGAGGTATCTACTTTACGTGATGAGGTTGTCATTCTACGCGAGATTGTTTCATCGTTGCAGAATGATGTTCATACTCTACGCAATGGTAAATTGTTTAATACTATACTAAAAATGCAAATAAACCTTTTTCGTTATTATTTAATTATTATTTACTGATTTATGTATTAATTTATTTCAGCGGCCTGATCAGTTAGATGCTTTACGTCGGGTTTTTCTTGCACGACAGAGTTCACGCATCAGACGTCGTGCACGTGCCATTACGTCTCCATTCACCCCACTAGTGCCAATACTCCGTAAGAAGAAGCTCGATGCACCTATCATCGTTC